TGTCCCCAGGGTTTCGTGCTTTCAATACTATGTTGGATAGTACAAAGATACCGAGAAATATACATGAGGCTCTCAATGATAAAAAATGGAGGGATGTTGTCTTTGAAGAAATGAATGCTTTAGAAAGAAATGGAACTTGGGAGATAGTGACCCTACCCAAAGGAAAAAAGGCAGTAGGATGCAAATGGGTGTTTACAATAAAATTCAATGCAGATAATAGCATCAACAGATACAAGGCAAGATTGGTTGCAAAGGGTTTCACTCAGACTCATGGGATAGATTATCATGAGACTTTTGCTCCGGTTGCTAAAGTCAATACCATCCGAGTTCTCTTATCTCTTGCTGCCAATCTAGATTGGCCTCTGCAACAGTTAGATGTGAAGAATGCATTCCTAAATGGTGACTTACATGAAGAAGTCTATATGGATCCTCCACCTGGTTTTGAAAGGGGAAATGAATCAGTGTGTAAACTAAAAAAGTCTCTATATGGATTGAAACAGTCTCCCAGAGAATGGTTCGACAAATTCACACAAGCAGTCAAAAGAAGAGGCTTCATTCAAGCACAGACTGATCATACTCTCTTCCACAAACACTCTAAGGATGGTAAAATTGCTATTCTTATTGTATATGTAGATGATATAATTCTTACAGGTGATGATATTGAGGAATTGAACACCTTGAAGAAATTTCTAGCAGCTCAATTTGAACTCAAAGACCTTGGCACTCTCAAATATTTCCTTGGTATGGAAGTTGCTAGGAGCAAAACAGGCATCACTCTAACACAAAAGAAATATGTTCTAGATCTTTTGTTGGAAACAGGAATGTTAGGGTGTAAACCTGCTGAGACACCTGTGGAACCTAATACCAAGTTAGGTATTGAAGATGGGAATGAGGTGGATAAAGAACAATATCAGCGATTGGTTGGTAAACTAATCTACTTATCTCATACGCGTCCTGACATTGCCTTTGCGGTGAGTATGATTAGTCAATTCATGCACTCACCCAAGGAGAAGCATCTTAGTGCAGTCTATAGGGTGCTTAGATACCTCAAGAATACTCCAGGAAGAGGATTATTCTTTAAAAAGGGGTATAAAAGGACAATTGAAATCTACACTGATGCAGATTGGGCAGGCTCATCAGTAGACAGAAGATCTACCTCAGGCTATTGCACCTATGTGTGGGGAAATCTTGTTACTTGGAGAAGCAAAAAGCAAACAGTGGTTGCAAGAAGTAGTGCTGAAGCAGAATTTCGAGCTTTAGCTCATGGAGTTTGTGAAGGAATCTGGTTGAGAAGACATCTTCAAGAGTTGAAGATTTCATATTCCCTACCAATAAAACTATATTGTGACAACAAGGCAGCTGTTAGCATTGCTCAAAATCCTGTGCATCATGATCGAACAAAGCACGTGGAAGTTGATCGTCACTTCATCAAAGAAAAATTAGATGATGGAAGTGTGCATTTGATATATGTTCCAACCAAAGAGCAAACGGCAGATGTCCTTACCAAGGGCCTACATCGTCCAGCATTCGAAGACTTGATTGGCAAGTTGGGAATGATCAATATTTACCTCCCAACTTGAGGGGGAGTGTAGAAAATTAGAATTCAAACATGTTTCCGTTTTTATTTCCTATTAATTAGGATTGATTATGATTGATTAGGATTGATTATGATTGATTAGGATTAATTGTGATTGATTAGAATTGATTGTGATTAGGATTGTGATAGGATTGATTAGTCATCGCTTAGTCATTCTTAGCGATTCTTTCTTGTATAAATACTCACTCATGTAATTTATTCAATATCAATATACAGAAACTTCTTTTCAATACCTATATATGAAGCTATATAGAGTGCAAAGGCAACTATGGGAGGAACAACACAGTGACATATTAGGTGGTCTAGGATAGCAAGCAGCAAAACAAGATCACCCTAACAATGCCAAGCAATGTGACCATGAAGCAAAAGTGTCATAGAAGTTTCAATGAAGTGTTGACTTTTACGTTCTGCAACCCATGGATAGGCTTGACACCAATGTTTGCAATTTGTCAAGACTCATGACCTAATTGGACATGAATAATGAGAAGGGAATCCATGAATGAGCAAACACGAAATGGTTTATAGAATTATTAGAGATTATGAGACTAACATGCGATGCCAATCATCCGTCCCCAACTTCAGTCCTATAGAAAAATAGAGTCTTTATCAAAAGAGACAACACATTAAAGGGCTAATAGAGAAAAAATAAAATGGAGAACCACAAATAGGATCACAATCAATAAAAATGAAAGGGAGGGAATAAGGAGTACCAAACCCTTTGGATTGTGCTTTAGAACAATCAGCTAAGGTTGCTTTTGGGAAATAACGAAATATATAATGTCGGAGAATAGATGTTTATTACTAGAGAAGTTATCTTTAGCACCAGAAGCTAAGAACCAATTACCCATCTACATAACAGAGGCAGTGGTACCGAATTCTTGGTGTTCCTCAAACCATTTCAGAAGGTCAATGTAGGCAACTAGGGATGGTATTAAGTGTTCAGTAGTCAAAGAGAGCCTCATGAATCTCCCCAAAATATGTAAGCATTAAACGTCTAAGGCACAATGACCCTCGTAAGGTTAAAAGGAGGCGAGTATTATTAGCATAGTAGTTAAAAGCGGATTGCAGCCAGTTGCGGCCAACCTTGAAAAACACTCTAGCACTATAGCAATATAGCGGGTTGCGGTTACGAAAAATTGCGGAAATAGCGGATTGATAGAACCTATATATATTATATACCACACATGTATATGCTAAAAAATAAAAATCAATAATATTAGGAGACCAGATCAGTATTGATCTTTCTTTTTTATTGACAAAAAAAAAAATCGGAGACTATAAAAGAAAAAATAGGAGGTAGAAAAAAGAAGTAAGAGGTTAGAAAATACAAACCAGAAAAAAAAAGTTAAAAAAAAAGAAGTCAAAATCATTACCTAAATGAAGAGAGGAGAGAAGATGAGTCAAGAGGGAGGAGAGGAGAAGCTGCCCACTATTGTTCAGATGAGTCCAGAGATAGAGGTCGATTGAGATAATATTCACTTTGTTCAAAGTGATTGTAATAGTAAATTTATGACTCTTAATTTTCTATATATATATATATATATATATATATATATATATATATATATATATATATATCTTAAAGGATAAAAAAATATGTGGCTCACACTATGACAAAACATAATTTATTAATTCTTTTATATAGCTTGATTGTTTAATTTTTTTTTTAAAACAACTATTTAAAATTTGAATAATAGCTTTTGATATATTTCTTTACCCATAAAAAATAAATCATTAGCTTTTGTAATTGTTGCCCGTGACTCATGTGGGAAAAAAATATATCGAAACCCAATACAAGTCACGTGGGTTTGTGGGTTTGTTTCAACGTCTTCAGATTTATAACGCAGAAGAAAGAGAGAACTCCATTTTTTAACGCAGAAGAGAGAAAAACCTTCGATTTCATTTTGAACCGCTTTCAGCCGCGATTTTTCGCCGATACAGCCGCGATTCCTCCACTATTTCGGCCGCTATAGACGTTATCACTTTCTGACGCGGTGCGGAGTGGTTTCTCGCGGCTGACCACCGCAACCCGCAAACGGAGCGGGTAGCACCGCTAAAGCGCCGCTTTTAACTACAATGATTATTAGTGTTAAGGACCTTAGCCTAGTGCTAGACAGACAAACAAGTGGCGTGAGCCCAGATGAACTATTTCAAAGATAGATGAATAGCGGATTTTATGACACTTGTTAGAAAATAATATAAACCATCAAAAAGACCCTCCCCCAACACCTTAAGGTTTTTGGTTGAAATGATTTTTTATATGGTATCAGAGCTTCAGTGACCAAAAGGCCACGAGTTCGATCCTCACCACCCCCCACTTGTGGAATTAAATAAGCATAAGGTAAACCAAAAATTGGGCATATGCAATAATCCACGCTTTAAGCCCAAAGGGCTCTTGCGTGAGGGGGTGTGTTATAGAATAATATAAACCATTTAAAAGTCCCTCACCCAACACCTTAAGTTTTTGGGTTGAAATAGTTGAGCATACTCCACCTAGGGCGCTCAGCGGCAGGCACAGATCCAGCCTTGGTGGTTGGGTGGTCTACGTAATCTTGCACACTAAGGCAACATTTAATTTTCGAAGCCTGTGTCATAGTTTCAATCATTCAACTTGTTAGTGGAGAGGAAGCACTAACGTAGTAGGTTAAAACAAGGGACTCATCCTTTGGAACATCCATAAATGCCTTTGCAAGACTAGATCAAGCCATGGGCCACACTAAGAAGCAAAGAAAAGGGTTGAGATGACTAGATGTGAGGAGAGAATGACATAGGCACCCAAGGCAAGAAAGTAATGGATCGGGCGAATACCATGAATGGTATCCGCGCTATCAAGCATGACAGAGCAATCATTGGAGAAGACATAAAAAGAATGCATGAGGGCACTTCACATGGCCATTCACTGTTGGTCTATTTGGATGGCCAAACGGGGCGAGCTACTCCAAATCTAAGAGTCACCGGCCAAAAGATAGACATGGGTGGATAGTGAGTCCATTAAGTAGGCATAGAATAGGATTATTTCTTGTCAGGCTCTAGATACCATGTTAAGTTAGGAGAAATTCGTGTAACTAAACTACATACTGGGGTTTGGATTTAAGTAGTAAATACATTATACAGATTTCTCTATTATCCTAATTACCATAATTACATGATTCTGACTACCCATTAACATCAACTGCAAGATATTATTTACATAGTTACTAGAATTACAAAACAAAGATGATCTAAGTGGAAGTCAGAATACATGAAGAACCATCAAAACAAAATGCTTTTCATATCAAGCTTATATAGAAAAAGCATAGTCAAGATTGTCCTTAAATGCAAGAAGGGGTGAACAAAAGAATTTGCTTAATAAAAACATAACTTAGTCAAGTACAAGCATATGTTACACTGCTTTAACACTTACCTGCTTCTCGACATCAGTAGTATTTTGAGCATCATTGGCCAAGTTGTCTGCTCCTTGAGAATTTGTATCCTTAGATTTTGACGTCTGCGCTGCTTGGGCCTATTCCCACAAAGAACCAGCTGTGTGAAACTGGTTTCTGAATATATAAAGCAAATTCCAAATATTGTTAACATCAAAGTAGTGTATTTACCTGGCAAAAGGCAGTAATTAATTCTGGTCTCAATATACAAAATCGAGAACCAGGTCCAGTATAATTGGCATCCCGAGGAGTTACCCTCAACAAATCAAGAAGATAATGCCTGATTTGGTTATGAAAAGAGTAATGCATAAGTTCACAGCAGTGGCACAATAGACATAAATGCAAGTTGCAATAAACTAAACTTGAACATTGTGATGAATAACATGTTGTGTTCAATAACATTAATCAACGATAAAACATACAAAAATTAGCCAGGAAGGAGTTAAAAAGAATCGAATATATTAGCCATGTTCTGATGGGCCTATAATAAATAATCCAAGCCCATTACATTAGTATTTTAGAATTAGTATATATAGAAGTTTAGGGTGATGTCTGTGTTATGCATGTATTCAATTCTGGTTTAGTGGGGAAAATTGAGAGACTTCTAGGGAACTCTTGAGCCTAGGTATTTGGTTTGAGGGGGAGTTGAGGTTTCTTGGGGTTTAATTTCTGCAAATTAGTGTATGTAAAAGAGGCATGGCCTCTAGGGGTGGTAAACGAGCCAGGGGCCTTTGGCTCGGCTCGTAAAGGCTGAGCTCGTTTAATAAAAGCTCGTGTTGGAATCAGGCTTGGACTTGTATAAAAGCTCGTTTAATAAAAAAGCCTCAGGCTCTAATTCAGAAGTTCGGCCTTAGAGTCTCCCAGGCTAGTCTAGTATATAAATATTTATTTATACTTTTTATACTACTTGTAATAACTCTCTCATCAATTTATTTCACCCCATTTTATTGGTTTAACATACTTTTTGAATGATTTTGTTCTATATTATGCTATTTGGATATATATTGAATTTAAGTATATTTATGGAATTACTAGTGCTGTTCTATATTATCCTTCATCCTCCTTCACACAAACAAACCCACAAAAACTCATTTGTTCCACTGTGCACTGCTCGTTTGTGTCAATTTATTTATTTTTTTATTTATTTTATTTTTATTTTTGTTGGCACTTTTTTTATAATGGCTAAGATAATATAACCTGTTATTTACCTTCTCTCACTTTAATTTTTTTTATTTATTGTAGACTTTGTAAATTATTGCTGCAAATTGGAAGCTAAGGTTTCTATCTGGAAATTGATTTTTTGTGGAATTCTGTTCTCTTATTTTTATTCTTTAACATGCTAACAGGCTAAGACAGGCTTCACACAGACTTTTATTTTTTGTAAATAAACCAGGCCACAGGCCAATATTATATTCGTAACAGGTAACAGGCTAAGGCCAGTCGGACACGTTTAAATACAGGCTTGGCCCGTTAAGATCAAAGCTCGGCTCGGCTCGGCTCGTTAACACCCCTAATGGCCTCCATTATCTCTATAATTTCAGTGTTATTTTTCTGGTTCCATCAATTTGGTATCAGAGCATTTTCGATCTAGGGAGTGCTTCTGGTCCAGATCTACCAAAAAAAAAATGGAAAACAAAAGAATGGAGAGGAGCTTGGATCGATTAGAAGCAAGAATGCATCGAGTTGAAGATGTTGTTCATCATGAAAGTGGAAGTAAGCATGGATAGCGTGAGGGTAGAAAGATTGAGAGGGGTGGAAGACGCTATCCGTCAATTGCAAGGAACAATTCAGAGACTCAAGGATGTAATAGATCAGCGCTACGACAATCGAAATTTGAATCGAGTGCACAACGAAGGAAGAACAGAGGGTGAAGAAGTTGAAGAAAAAGAAATCGAAGGTGCAGAAATAATCGAAGAAGAAGAAGAAAAGGAAGAAGACATAGACATTGCAGCAAAGCAAAAGAATACAGGAGAAAATGAAGAAGAAGAAATGAGCAAAAAAGAAGAAACAGACGCAGAGGAAGGAACAGAAAAAATAGAAGAAATAGTTAAAGACGAAGGAGGAGAGAAAGAAGATGGAGAACGGGTGAAAATGCATTTCCATGGCCAGATAGATCTGGATTGTGTCTCTATAGATCAGAATATGGCTTTAGCTCAAATGGTGAATGTTATTTCTGGGCAAAGAATCGAAGAAAAGAAAAACGTCACGGGGAAGACGATGACTTTGGTGGGTCGAAATGGGTTTACGGGAACTGGACCAAGTTTAGGTCAGCTTAATCTAGTGGTATTCACAACCCGTTCCAACAATCTGAGTAGAGAAACAAATGGTGGTGGGGCTGGATCGCGTAACGGGCCCAATACCAGAGGGCCCAATCAGACTGATCTTACTAGAACTAATGGGGCCCAAACACGGCCCAACGAAACAAATGCTGGTCTAGGGCACATTTCGTTCGAGAATGAGGAAAGCGAAGGATCAACACCAGTGACCCTCGCGACGAACGACGACAATGTTGACAGGCGAGGCGCATCTTACCAGCGATGGACGACGGAGGAGATGGTTCGTGTTTATGCAGTTAGTGTTCTTGAAAGAGCTGATGATTAAGAACTTCAATGTTACTTGCTTCAATTGGGTCAGGCTCTTCGGATTGATCGCTCTGACAAATCTCACCTTTCTCATTTCCTTGTCCAGCATGCGTTATGCAATATTGAATTGCGTGCGTTATGCAATATTGAATTGGTAAGTTTTTTTCGTTGGTATGTGGCTGCAGAACTTTATGACACTGCATATGCCAAACGATTTGACTGCACTTATGAGATTCTGGAAGAGAATATGATGAAGATGGAAGCTGGTCTGAATGGAGAGGAAGATGGGTTTAAACGGTGGCGGAGTTTGGTACTGTTAGAATATGAGATATGATATGATTAGATTTGATTAGATATGATTGGATTCTGTCTTATCCGTAAATAGTCTGACTGTATTCTGACTGTATTAGGATTAGGTTTGGATTAGGTTTGGGCCTTACACTTAAGCCCATTAGGGTCTCTATATATTGTAACTCCCTGACACAGATCAATACACAACGTATTCTTTTACATTTAACTTGGTACCAGAGCTATTTCGTTCTGGGAACCCTCGCTTCCGCTTAGAAATCTTGTTCTTCGCTTTAAAACCTAAGCCCACTGCTTAGGAGTCATCTTTTCTTTGCCGTGCGTCCTTCCGGTAAGACATCAAGGGCTGTAAGTCCTCTCCAGGCATCTTCTGCACGTGTCCACATCCCCAAACAGTCACCGGAGCACCATCAGCCACCGTCAGCCACTGTTCAGGCTGCCGGAGTACTTTTCCGGCGAGTTATCAGTCTGGAACGAACGCGAACAGAACCCTCTCCTCCCGGCGACCTGCTCTGTGGAAGTCCGGCCACCATCGGAGTTGTCACGCGCTCTCACGCGCCTCCAGTCTTCTCTGCGCGTGGGCTTCACGCGCCACCTTCTGCCGGCGCGTGAGCACTATTCCGTCGGCTTTTTCCGGCCGGTCTTGGACAGAGAAGCTCGTCTTCTCCTCCTCTTTCTGGATCTGTGGTTGGTTCTTTGTGGGTCTGACTTTTTGCGCACCTCTTCTTGATTGGTGATCAAGTTCGTTTCTCTTTATTCGGTTTATATCTTTCTGATTTGATACTATGGCAGCAAACCCTCCAATTCATTCGGAGGTCAAGTCTCCATCTCCTCCTTTGAGAAATTCTCCCAATATCATCTCTACCAATATTGGGTCCATTACCTCTTCAAAATTGAAGGGATCTGTTAATTATAAGAACTGGGCCACCTCTGTTCGAGTTTGGTTCTTTGGACAAGGATATGGGAACCATCTCACAACTAAGTCTACTGATGTCCCTAAGGAGGACAAGTCTGATTGGGAAAAGATTGACAACCAGCTTCTGAGTATCCTCTGGCAATCCATTGATCCGATTGTCTTGGATATCTTTTATTCATTTCAAACTTGCATTGAAGTGTGGGAGGAAGCAAAAAACCTCTACACTAATGATGTTCAGCAGCTCTATTTCATTATCTCTCAGTTTATGGAATTGAGCAAATCATCCGACATTCAGATGGAGACATATTGGCAAGAGTCGCTCTTTGATGCAGGCATATTTGGATATGTTGCCTTACCCTACTGATGCTACTGCATATCGGAAACAGGTGGAACGTCTCTTTATGGTTGCCACACTTTCTGGCCTTCCCGAAGAATATGATAATGTTCGTGATACTATCTTGACTAGTGGGGAGCCTGATCTATCCATGACGTATCAGCGTCTTCTGAATTTGAATAAGAAATCTGCTCCTGCATCGTCTTCTGCTGTTGATTCTACTGCTCTAGTTTCCCGTACTGATTTTCGCGGCATATTGGAGGTGGACGTGGTCGTGGTAGAGGCCCAGGAGGACGTAGCCCAGGAGGTCGTGGCCCAGGAGGCCCAGGAGGTCCAGTCGGACGTGGTCAGCGACCTCGTTGTCATTACTGTCAGCAACTTGGTCATTATGAGGAACGCTGCTACACCAAGTATCCTCACATGCGACCTTCTTTTGCTGCTAATGTAGCTCAATCGGATACTGCTTCAAATGGTTCAGTCTCTCTCTCCTCTGAAGAATATGCAGCATTCCAGGCCCTTCTCAGGAAGTCCTCTCCTCAATCTCAGGCCTCTGCTTCAGAAACTGGTAATCCTGTTGCTTGTGTTTCTCATTCCAGGTCCTTGGATATTTGACTCAGGTGCTACTGATCACCTCTGTGGTAATAAGGAACTCTTTTCTTCCCTTACATATTCTAATAATTTACCCTCTTTTACTCTTGCTGATGGAACTAAGGCCCCCGTTCATGGGATTGGACAAATCTGTCCAACCTCCTCATTGACCTTGACATCTGTCTATTACATTCCTCACATCCCTTATAATTTAATATCGGTTAGTAAATTGATCAATTCTCTTAATTGTATTGTCACATTCTCAAACCATTCTGTTTCTGTGCAGGACCCGGGTACGGAGAAGATGATTGGAGTGGGCCGTGAGTCACGGGGTCTGTTCTACCTTGATGTGCCGAGTCCTTCAGTTGCTTGTTCTCTCACAGAATCTCCACAGCTCATCCACAGTCGTCTCGGGCATCCTAGTCTTGCGAAATTGCAGAAGATGGTTCCTCTTTTATCCGGTCTTCAAACTTTAGATTGTCAGTCATGTCAGCAAGGAAAGCACATACGCTCCTCTTTTGCTAATCGAGTCAATAAACGAGCTGATGCTCCTTTTTCAATTATTCATTCAGATGTTTGGGGTCCTAGTCGTAGTGTGTCTATTTTAGGTTTTCGGTATTTAGTCACCTTTATTGATTATTTCTCCCGTTGTACTTGGATTTATTTAATGAAAAACCGTTCTGAGTTGTTTTCTATTTATCAAAAGTTTTCTGCTTAAATTCATACTCAATTTGGTGCTTCTATTCGTATTTTACGTAGTGATAATGCTAAGGAGTATGTTTCTGTTGACTTTTCTCACTTCTTAGCCACACAGGGTACTTTACACCAAACCACTTGTCCTCACACTCCACAACAAAATGGAGTAGCTGAACGTAAGAATAGACATCTCATTGAGATTGCCAGGACTCTTCTTATTCACATGCATGTTCCTCTTCACTTCTGGGCTGATGCAGTCCTTGCTTCTTGCTTTCTCATCAACCGCATGCCTTCATCTGTGCTTAATAATGATATTCCTCATAACTTATTGTTTCCAGATGTTCCTCTCTTTCCTCTATCCCCACATGTTTTTGGTTGTACCTGTTTTGTTCATGATCTCACTCCTGGTAAGGATAAGTTAACATCCAAAGCCTTTAAATGCATTTTTCTTGGTTATTCTCGTCTTCAAAAGGGTTATCGTTGTTACTCTCCTGACCTCAAGCGTTACTTAGTTTCCGCGTATGTCACCTTTTTTGATCAACAACCCTTTAATTCTATCCCATCTCCATTGTCACAGGTTGATCATGTTCTTCCTGTTCCTTTTCTTGACTTGTCTTTGCCAGATGCAGGTGCTTCTACTCCAGATAAGCAATCACCTATTGCTCCAGTACCTAAGGACCGTCCACTTCTCACTTATCAGCGTCGTAAGACAGTACCTCCAGTCGACTCGACCCCTGCTGACTCATTGCCCTCTGCAGTTGATTCTTCCCCTCCGGATCCTTCACCAGAGGCTCTTCCCATTGCTCAAAGAAAAGGTACACGTACTACTCGTAACCCTTATCCTCTTTATACCTTCTTGAGCTATGATCGTCTTTCTCCTCCTCATTTCACCTTTGTTTCTAGTCTTTCTTCTGTTCCTATTCCTAAGACCACAGGTGAAGCACGTTCCCATCCAGGATGGCGCCAAGCGATGCTTGATGAGATGACCGCACTTCATACCAAGGGCACTTGGGACCTTGTTTCTGCTCCTCTAGAGAAGTCTATAGTTGGTTGTCGCTGGGTGTTTACCGTGAAAGTTGGACCTAATGGCCATGTTGATCGTCTCAAGGCACGCCTAGTTGTCAAGGGTTTTACTCAAATATTTGGCCTTGATTATAGCGATACATTCTCTCCAGTCGCTAAGATGGCTTCCGTCCGCCTATTTCTTGCCCCTGCTGCTGTTCGTCACTGGCCACTCCTTCAACTTGACATCAAAAATGCCTTTCTTCATGGTGATTTACAAGAAGAAGTTTACATGGAGCAACCACCTGGTTTTGTTGCTCAGGGGGAGTCTGGGAAGGTATGTCGTCTTCGAAAATCCTTATAAGGTCTCAAGCAGTCTCCTCGAGCATGGTTCAGTCGCTTCAGTTCTGCTGTACAGGCGTTTGGCCTAATTCGCAGTAAAGTTGACCATTCTGTATTCTATAGGATTACATCTCCTAACAAGTGCATCTATTTGTTAGTCTATGTTGATGACATCATCCTCACCGGAAGTGATCAAGACGGAATCCATCAGTTAAAACAACATTTATTCAGTGCATTTCAAACAAAGGACCTTGGGAAGCTGCGTTACTTCTTGGGAATTGAGGTGGCGCAATCTAGACAGGGCATTTCTATCTGTCAAAGGAAGTATGCCTTGGATATCCTAGAGGAGACTGGTATGTTGGGGTGTAAACCAGTTGATACACCCATGGATCCTAATGTTAAGTTATTGCCCAGACAGGGGGAGCCATTATCTGATCCTGGACGTTATCGAAGGCTGATTGGGAAGCTCAATTATCTTACTGTGACTAGGCCAGATATTTCTTTCGCTGTCAGTACGGCCAGTCAGTTCCTTGATTCCCCTTGTGATTCACATTGGGATGCTGCTGTGAGGATCCTCCGATACATCAAAGGAGCACCAGGAAAAGGTTTGTTGTATTCGGATCAGGGAAATACAGAAATTTGTGGTTACTCAGATGCCGATTGGGCAGGATCACCCTCGGACAGACGCTCTACTTCTGGTTATTGTGTCTTCTTCGGAGGAAACTTAATCTCATGGAAAAGCAAGAAACAACCTGTTGTTTCCCGATCTAGTGCAGAAGCTGAGTATCGTGCAATGGCAAATACTACCTGTGAGTTGATCTGGTTAAAGCAGTTGATTCAGGAGCTTCATCTTTGTGAACAGAAACAACCCATGACACTCATCTGTGATAATCAAGCTGCGCTACATATATCCTCTAATCCTGTTTTTCATGAGAGGACCAAACATATAGAGATTGATTGTCACTTCATTCGGGAAAAGATTCAGTCAGGAGAAATCAAGACAGCTTTTGTCAACTCGTCTAATCAACTAGCAGATGTTTTCACTAAAGCTCTTAGAGGTCCTCGGGTTGAATACATTTGTAACAAGCTTGGTGCTCATAATATATACGCACCAGCTTGAGGGGGAGTGTTAGAATATTAGATATGATATGATTAGATTTGATTAGATATGATTGGATTCTGTCTTATCCGTAAATAGTCTGACTGTATTCTGACTGTATTAGGATTAGGTTTGGATTAGGTTTGGAGCTTACACTTAAGCCCATTAGGGTCTCTATATATTGTAACTCCCTGACACAGATCAATACACAACGTATTCTTTTACATTTAACTGATACGTCGGACAAAATTGACTGTTCAATTGTGTTCAATCACTAGAGATTTATGGAATGTTTGTGGTATTGCACGAGGTGTCCTTATTACTGGGATTGTACCTTCAGAGTCATCAATATTCGAAAGTGCAATGGATCCTTTGTGCCTTATTTTTAGTACAGCAAAGGGTGGAACATGTAAAATCATATATAAAAAAAGTGATTATCTTTGGCAGGACCAGTTTGTGGTTCAAAGGGTATCACTAATGGATCGATTGCTTAAGCTAGAAAATCTTGATCTGCACTTGACAGTATACAAGGTGCTAGCAACTGGGCAAGATGAAGGCATGTTTGAATTCATTCCATCGCGTTCAATATACTTCAACCAATGGGATCCCAGTGGAAGAGTTTCTCAAACAATGGAATTGAAGCTGCCATTGTGTTCAAAAAGCTTCACACAATGGGACCCGGGTGGAAGTTCTTTCACATTACTTGACCTCTTTCTTCACCTTGAGGACAAGGTGAATCTTGAAAGGGGAGTATTGATGGGCCTATAATAAATAATCCAAGCCCATTACATTAGTATTTTAGAATTAGTATACATAGAAGTTTAGGGTGATGTCTCTGTTATGCATGTATTCAATTCTGGTTTAGTGGGGAAAATTGAGAGACTTCTAAAGAACTCGAGCCTAGGTATTTGGTTTGAGGGGGAGTTGAGGTTTCTTGGGGTTTATTTTCTGCAAATTAGTGTATGTAAAAGAGGCATGGCCTCCATTATCTCTATAATTTCAGTGTTATTTTTCTGGTTCCATCATGTTCAAATCAAAATCTTGAGACGAGGTCACCAACAAAGCACACATACAGAAGAAAAAAACAATCTAACTCAAGAGTAACTACCGGTCATCACCACCAACAATGCCCTTGCATTCCACCGGTGCAGCTAATTTGAAAACATCTCCAGATCCATCAAGGACCGAGTGTTCCTTCAAATGAAGGCGTTTGGCAGCCTCTGACACCTAACATAAGAAAAGCTTAGATGAGATACAAAAGTAAATATCCATCTGAAAGAGAACATAAGCAAAAAGAATGTACAGTTACAAATTACAATTTACAGATAATGCAATTTAAAACACCCTTATTTTCCCCTAAAAAAAATTTTTCTTATTGCCACATATAATATAAATATATTAGAGATATAATAAAATTATTCATGTGACTTCACCCAACACCTTCAGCTTTTGGAATAGTTGGTTCTTGATATAGTACCAGAGCCACTATAACCAACTAGTCTAAAATTCGATCATTGCCATCCCCATTCTTCTAATAAAAAAAGGTTGAATTTCAACATAAAGTAGGTAAGCTTGTGCAATTGTCCATGTTTTATGCCCAGTACAAAAAGGGTTCTTGTGTGAGGAAAGTGTTATATATAATACAAATATGTAGATATATTTAAAAGCGTTCGTGTGCCTTCACCCAACAACTAGGCTTTTGAGATGGTTGGTTCTTGACACTTACAATTTAATGTCAGCCACAGTAAGCATGATGATCTCCAACAGTTTCAAACTTTCAGTAAATGCAAAAAAATCAAATCTGACAGCCTCACCAAATAAAATTACACTTCTGCAACCTTTCTTACCTTAGAATGAAAATCTTCATTCCAGCAAATTTTCTTTCCATTGTCAACAGAACCATACAAGAGAGAGTCCGACTTGTCCCCTTGAAGAATGCCTGGTAAGACACTCTGCAGCACAATATATAATTTGAAATCCAAACAGAAATTTATATTGAGAACAAGGAGTCATTGCGTTTCAGATTACAAAATACAAAGAATGAAATGACTTTGATGCATAAAATTCAGCACGTAACTCCAGTGCAATAATTTAATATAGAGCTTTTATAGGCTTAATAATTAATATATAAATATTAATAGCAACCATATTGGGACATCACAAACATTTACGCTGCAAAAGAACAAATACTGATACAATATAAAGAGGGCAATTTACATAAAATATTGAAAATACCTGAGCTACCACTCTATGACCCCTGTAGTCAATTATAGCCATAGCAAGATTATAAATTCCAGGAACATCAGCTTCCTGGTAAGCCTTAGTGCCCTTCAAATCATTGTTTGCAGAAGCATATGTGGCCTGCTCATTCTCGACCAGCTGAGCTTCAGGAGAAACATCCTGAGTGACTTCTGTGCCATTAAGATCTTCTGAATTTGAACCATCGTCTTTCACCCCATTGGGAACCTGACTATCTCCATGAAGAGGTATATAAGAAGCTTTATCAGAAGAACTTTGCACAGTGCCTGTGCTCCATGCTTTTGAATCAGCATCCACGCATCTCTTTGACAGCTTCTCAAGGTCAGCATCAACAGCAAAACTAAAGAATATATTATTGTGCACATACCTATTACCATAATTACACTGATGAGCGAAAAAGCTTTCCACATACAAAGCAAAACTCATATGTGGGGGGGAAGAGGCAATGTCAACTATAAAAAGAAAACATATGAACTAATAACATCGCCGACCTGAACAAGATACATCATATATCGAACTATTTTTGGCCAAAACCATGTACCATACTTGAGACAGCCATCTCATGAAGTCACGAACATGTACTCCACAAGGAAAATTTATGGGCCAAGGAAGGAGAATCTTCAATCCCCCCTCCCCACCCGAAAGAAGAAAAATGTAACATGCAATTTTCACTAGAGCATTCTTTTCAGCATTTTAAAATAATAAAATATCAGAATGCAGGGAAAACTATTTACTACTAGTATTTCAAGAAAACCAAGATTCAGAATATATTTTAAAAAAAATGTTTAATCCCTAAAATAGTTAAAGACCCACTAACATGTGAAAGCATTCTGGGTCAGTCGGGTTTATTGGAGGAATGCAGCCACCGATCACTCCAATGGCACCATTAATGGCTGCATCTACAAAGTCTGACGTCACTTTATAAAGTGCCCTATCCCGCAAGATCCTGCAGCAATAAACAAGTTTCCCAAGAAGCATTGATAATAGATGATATCAAGTCATTATGTAACAGGTGTACTTCCATAGCCATCCATTTACAAATGAGAGAAAATAAAGGTACCTCTCCTGTGGAGTTGTATGAGGAAATTCTCGACAAGATTGCAGCTCCTCATTCCAGTCTCTTTGCATGCCAATAGGCTCACTGCCGTACAGAAGAGTCAAGGCATTCTCAGCCCTAGCTGTGTCACGTCTGTGGTCTGCCAACACATGAAACCCACATTACAAAATACATGAAGCTAGCCTGAGGTTCACATATTAGGAACCTGATTATAAGGTTCTCATATAATTTCATGCCATTGTAAAGTTGAAATCCAAATCATATAAGGATATACAAAAAGGAAAATCTAGCGCTATAAAGCTCCCACTCTGCGCAGTGTGTGGTGAAGGGTCAGACCCATTATGTTGGTCTAAAGTAGGCAGGCAGCTTGCATTTGCAAGAGGCTGATTACATGAATCAAAGTTGTTACCTCACATGGCAACAACACTAACCATTGTGCCAAGGCTCCCCTCCGTATAAGGATATACAACAACAAAAAACTTTATCCCACTAGGTGGGGTCGACTACATGGATCAAAAACGCCATTGTGTTCTGTCAAAAACCAAGTCCTGGCACAAGCTATTTACATCTAAGACCTTTTTAATAATTTAGCTTAAGAGTTTTTTCTTGGTCTTCCTCTCCCTCTCAATATTGAGCTATCCTTCATTGATCAACTCATTTTACTAGTGGCTTGGCTTCTATTGGTCTTCTTCTCATATGACCAAACCATCTCGGGCACAATTTACTATCTCTTCCTCAATAGGTAGTACTCCTACTTTCTCTCTCATACATTCATTCCCAATATCTATTCTTGTATGTTCACTCATCCATCACAACATTTTACTCTCTACAACACTCAGTTTATGCTCTTATTAGAATTAATAATACACACAAACTCAAAGCAAACTAATTTTCTTTTTCAACATCCTTCATCAACTATAAATATTTAGATCCATAATATGAGTTATACTGTAGGACCCTTTACAAAAGCTACCAGGATAGGATGAAAGCTTCAAGATTCCATCTGTTTTTCTGTTTTAACAACTAGACCATGCCTCTTCTAAGCACACTGTTCAAGCCGGGCATTATAGATGTGCCAAAAGAAATTTTTCCAATTAACAATTTTCTCTTGCAGATAATAAATAAGGAAAATATATCACCTATCACTAAAGGAAAAGAAACACTACCATTGAAATCCAGGAGCAGATATTACGACAACATAAAGAATTGAAAACAGACACCAAAGAAACAAAATGCCATAGGCTAAGCTCACCAGGAACAGGGTATAAACCAAGCCACAAATTAGGCGGCAACAAAGACTGCACATTTTCAAAAGGATGGGCAGCAGCTCTACCCTCCAATATTTCACGGAAAGCTTCAAAATTGGACAAAGGGAAATAAGATTTGGGTGCCAAAGCAAATTTTTGAGATACGTAAGTCTCAAACAAAAGGCACTTTAATTATACTTTACTACCTTTTTTGAACTTGGGGCTAATCTTTTGCAAGAGAGCAACAAGTGTTGTTGCCTCAAAAGTAGCTTTACTAGGCCTTGGGTCGAGATTGTTCACCGAGCTTGAGTTGACATAAAACATTTTTGTACTTCCAGAAATACAAAATTTATTACCCTCAAGAGTTATCACGTCCAAATAAATCAAATCTCCAACAAGCCTGCACACCACAGCCTTGTTAAATGCATATAAACTAAATGAGGCTATAAAATGATATTAACTGAAGAGGACATTTTTCACATTACCTTCTATAGCTGGGAGGAGGATTGAAGGATGAAAACACTATGCTCTCCACACATTTAATATCCTTCGACGAGGAAGACAACAAATTACCTAATGAACCAGAGACGTCCTCCATATAACCAAGCCCATCAAGCTCCGGAACTTCAGGTTTCAAGGTGTCTGATATTTTACGAAATGCAGAAGCAGACTAGTGACTAAATATTTCAGAAACAAAAAAGAAACAAATAGATATAGCAAAATAAATAAAGGGAAAGAGCACTATCCCATACCTCCTGAATTTGCAGCTTTACTTTGTGCTATATCATTCTGTAGGGCAAGTGACGTTGATAATGAAGCATGAAGGTTAGAAAGGGAAAGCAACTCTCTTGTACGGTGAACATGAGCCCTTATAGATCTATCATCATAAAATGCTGCAAAGACAATTAATCATTTATCATATTATTATCCTAAACATCATATTACTGCTAGAGCAAAAGTTCATTAACATACCAGGAACCATTTCCAAGGAGCAACCACCAGTAGTAATATCAGCTACCTCAGAAATTTCATTATAATCTTCCAGGTGATGTGTGGATCCATCCTTTGTGTACAGCAGTAAGTCATAGCATGTGATGAAACATGTCTCTGGGGCATCAAGAAGGAACTGTCGTATATCCATGACAGAGTCTCCTGGATTCAACTGTGGATCAATTAAACAGCTTAGAAGTCACTTTCTATGATATGTAATCAAAATATGGACAGTCGCACAGATCTAAACTTGATACTATAAATAGTTCAAATGTTCTAAATGTAGAAACAAACAAATTTTACAACAATAAAAATGCATGGAAATAATTAGATCTCTAACAAGATCATCTAAGAACCTCTTGATTCCTCAAATTCTCTTGATGTGAAATAGTAACAACCAATAGCTTCATGATGAAGTTAACTCACCTGAAGCTCAAGCTTCTCCCCAGTTTGTGTTTTAACAGAAACTGCATAAAGTTGAAGATCACCTGCACTATCAAATTGGGGAAGAATATTAGTTATGAAGCAAAGTGGAGGTTCTATCATACGCATTACTAACTAGAGTGAAAATAAATTTGATTAAACTACCACCTTTTTTTATAGAAAATTACTGTTAGGACCGATACTGATTTGCAAGGCATGGGACTTGAAGTCCCACATTGGTTGTATGGCCAACTAATGTAGGGTTTATAAGACCTTGGGCACTCCCACCCTTTGAGCTAACTTTTGGGGTGGTGCATCCCAAGATTCTTATCAAATGGTATCAAAGCACACACTATGTTTCGCAGATTGGAACTTGGAACTAGAACCCGGGGGTTGGACCCTTGGACTTGGAACCCCGGGCTTAGGCTGCGAAGCGTGGTGGAATATTAGGACCCATTTGCAAGGTATGGGACTTGGAATCCAACATTAGTTATATGGGCAACTAATATAAGGTTTACAAGGCCTTGAGCACTTCCACCCTTTGAAATAGCATTTGGAATGATGCATCCCAAGGTTCTTATCAACTATATAACTACAATTGGACTACATAAATTATTAAAAATCGTGCATAGTAAAAAACAAGAGAAAACTTGCACAATCACCTAATGACTGGGAAAACAAAGGAGTGATATGACAAAGCTTGCCTTTTACTATAAAACAATCAAAAGAAAATTTGTAAAAGGAAAAAAAGAAAAAAAAGCATATAATTGATAATCTTGGTACTTTTAAATTTAATTAAACCATAGGAAGAAAAAAATTTAGTTTGGACTAAAGGTGATGTTGATATTGATGAGAATGAAAAAAATTTAGTAATAGGGGAGTGATGGAAAAGAACAAAAATGAACAAGAAATAGTGGGAAAAACAAATCAAGATTAACTAAATTAGGAGCATAGGGAAAAAAAATATTTAGAAGTAGTAATTTCAAAACACAAATGACTAACAATGATTCATGAACAAGTACAGAGATATCATAGAACAAAGCAAAGGAAGGAAGACTACTAGAACACAAGACAGCTGCTGTTGTGATGCTCTGTTAGCATGATTCTGATACAAAAGGTTTACTCTAGGAAGCAATTTAGGGAATCAATTGGCATTGCTGACTCACCTATTGAAAAGAATATTCTAGATGACAACTCTGTTAACGAGAAAGAAGATGTTGGCGTGGCTGAAGGAAGTTGAGAGGACGTTATTATAAAAGAGGGAGTGTGAAGGTAGGGGGACTGAAATTTGGGCATTGGGACTAGGAGAGATCAACACCTCTCAAATGTGTTGAATTGCTTTTTTCCTTTCTGTAATTCAGTATCTTATATTAGGAGGATTTTCATTTTGCTTTCATGTTCATTGTATCGTTTATGTCTTTCAATATACAGAAAATCCAAAAAGCAATTTCTGGGCCAAAAGCTTCTCTGAGTTCCTTAACATTCCTCACCTCTGATCCATAGTAGTTAAAAGCGCCGCTTTACCCGCAGCGTTCGCGGGTTGCGGTCGACCACCGCGAGAAACCGTGCTGCACCGCACCAGAAAGAGATTGTGTTTGAAGCGGGGAAAATAGCGGAGGGAATCGCGCCTGTATTGCTGAAAAATCGCGTCTGAAAAGCAACTAGAAGGGAAATACTGTTTCGCCTATATAAACGGAAAAAAAGAAGATATTTTTGCCCTTTTCATATTTAATATTATTAAAAGGACATTGGCCTCTGTTTTAACGTTTCAGTCATCTCTTTTCTAAATCCACTGACACACTCCACCGAAGAAGATTGAGTCTCTTTATTCCTAGTCGGCAGCTTCTCTCCTTTGTATCTTGGCTTGTTGACAGCTTCTCCTTTCCTGACTCAGCTTCTCTCCTCAGTCGGCAGGTTTCTGACTTTCTTGTTTTTTCTCTTACTCCTTTTTTTTTCCTACCCTCTTTTTTTTTACTGGATTTTGTTTTGGGTATTTTTTCCAGATTTCTTCCCTTATACATATAGTCATATATATTGACACACACAACAGTCCCACGTTGATTTGCTAGACACCTTTGTTTAGATTAAATTTTAAAAAGGAAGAAGTGTACCCACTACTTTAAATTTACTTAAAATAAAATTTTATTTTACAAACTGTGAATTACTAAACACACTTAATAATGTTTAAAAGTTAATAATTTTTTGTTTGTAAAATAAGTAAAAAAAATACATAATTTTTATTAAAATAATTTTAAAATTTGTATTCAAATACAAAATAATTTTTTTTTGAAAAAAAAATTATAAATTAAAAGGAGGGAGGTTATAGTTATAATTTTTTTACTATCTCGTATAGTTATTTTGTTATTTAGATATTTTAATTGACTACTTGGAATTCCCGTTTATTTTGGAGTAATTTTTTATTATTATTGATTATTTTTGTTTTTTAACATATATATGTGTGGTATATCTAGTTCTATTAATTCATTCCGCTATTTCCGCAACCGCAACCCGCTATAGCGCTATAGCATTTTTTAGAGTTGGCCGCAACAGAACGCGATCCACTTTTAACTACTATGCTCTGATCCAATTGTATCAATTAGTATCAGAGCTACCCGATCCGAGTAGCTTTGAACCATGGCCTTGTTAAGAAGAAAGCTATGGAGAAAGGAAATTCCCAAGTCCTACGGAGAAGATGATGAAGCTTGGGGATGGTTAATCTATCTGGAACAATACTTCCAGGAGGAGAAAATACATGAAGATGAGAAGTTGAATGAGGCAGTAAAAGGGTTTTGCATCCAATTGGTATAAATGCTAGAGTTGGCTTAATACTAATGCAAGTTGGAGAAAATTTGAGAAAGCTTTCGTAGAAAAATATCTTCCCGAGACTTGTTTGGTAAATGATGAAATAGAACCAAAAACTAAGACGCTGCAGGAGGAGAGGATCGAGGGTGATGAAAAGATGAGTGAGGTGGTTCAAGGACTGCTTAGATATGCAGATCCAAAATATGTGAAATTAGAGATGAAGGTGCAAAAGAAATCTCTACCAGAGAAGATGGAAACCTATGGTGGTTCAATAGAAAGCTTTCGAGAGTTGAAGGAGATTGGAGGTCTTGTATGATGCACAGAAAAGAAGAATTCGTAGAAGGAAATCATGGAAGGAAAAGAGACCAAGAAAATTCATGAAGTCATGGACGAACGAAAGGTCTCAACGAGAAAGACACAAGAACAATCGAAGCCACAACCAATAGAGGAGATGAAGCATCCACCACCATTACCCATTTTTTAAAGAAGATGCTCTATATTCTACTGACGAATGCGATGAGAAAAATGAAGATGGAGCATCAATTTTATTCTGCCTGCGAAAGATATATCATGATGATGCGGTAGTTTCCATGAACATATAAAAAGTGATTGTTTTGAAGAAAATAAGGAGGAGCTTACTCATCAGTGGACATGTTACAGAGGGCAATCAAAAGTGAGAGGAATGATGTACTATTGGCAAGCTTTGAATCTTCAACGCTTCATAGCATTTGCAAGAGAAAATGCTAGCACGGCTACCGGACAATGGATTTCTTTGACAAAGATAAGTTTTTCGAACCAGAAAAAGCTATGGCTGATTTAAAGTTGACCTAAATTGTTTCTTGCCAACAATATGGTTTTCAGAAAAAGTACAAAGATAATATAAACAGAAGCTATAATAATATTCCCAATTTGATGTTAATGCATTCATAATATTCCCAATTTGATGTTAATGCATTCATCCCTCCATGTTGATGCTTACACATAGATGACAGAGAAGAAACAAAGAATGGAAAATTTCAAAAAGTGTATTACTTTGTTCTTGTTAAGGGAGGGGACAAGGGTGATGAGGCAATATATCACATCATGTTTATTCAGGTGTGTTATGTGGACCTAGTGGGTGAACAAAATATAGAAGATTTATTCATTTTTCTGCCTCTAGATTCTATGGGTGATTCTGTTGAATTTGATTTGTTCGATTATGTTGTTCGACCCCAAATATATTGTAATCGCTTTATGCAGATTATTATTGCAGAAAAAGATAAAAACAAAAATATTGAGGCTGTCCATGCAGGAATCATGATGAAGCCATCACTCAACCTGTTTCAGGACAGCTCTCCAGTTAGTCCTTTTGATGTGCACATGGCTGAGCAATGTGCAATTGAATTTGTTTCTAGTTTATTTTGTGGTTTGGCTCTACTTGTGCTTAAGGGTGATAACGGAATGACTCTGGAGGAGATCAATATGTCGCAAAAATAAATTGGCCCTTACAATTCAAGCAATGGTATCCTGAGGAAGGACACTCGTTTGTTAACCATCACCTTGACGACAAGGTGAAAGTCTTTTTTTTTTTTGCCCCGGGAGGGGGGGAGTATAGAAACAACCCCTATCAAGGTTTACTCTAGGAAGCAGTTTAGGGAATCAATTGGCATTGTTGACTCACCTATTGAAAAGAATATTAGATGACAAATTTGTTAGAAGTGAGAATGAGGGTGCTGACGTGGCGGAAGGAAGTTGAGAGGAGGTTATGATAAAAGAAGGAAGGGGGCGTGAAGGTAGGGTTTGAATTCTGGGCATTGGGATTGAGACTGGGAGCTAGGTTGTTAGCAGCGGCCCGTAGCGCCGCTAAACAGCTACCGTAGCAGGTAGCGGCGGTCGGCCGCTACAAACCGCGACACTACGCGACATTGGCCGTAGCAAAAGGTAGCGGCGTAGCATAGCAGCAATAACTGCTACCCGCTACACCACTCCCATGTTGGAATTTGATGGAGAATCCGGAGATGATGATGATTTTCTTCATTAGTTCATGTAAAGAACCTTGGGATACAACACCCCAAAAGCTAGCTCAAAGGGTGGGAGTGCCTAAGACCTTATAAACTCCACATTAGTTGCACATACAACCAATGTGAGACTATATATCTCAACAACACCCCCTCACACAAGAGCCCATTGGGCTTGAAAAGTGGACAATGCAACAGGCTTAGCCTACTTGTGCTAAGAAACTCCACAAGAGAAAGTGGGGGACGGCGAGGCTCTGATACCATGTAAAGAACCTTGGGATACACCACCCCAAAAGCTAGCTCAAAGGGTGGGAGTGCCCAAGACCTTATAAACTCCACATTAGTTGCACATACAACCAATGTGGGACTATATATCTCAACAGTTCACTTCTTGTACTTGACTATTTGACAATTTTATTTTTCATTTGTGTTTAGTTTTGGATCTTCCTTTATGTTCCTTGTATTTGACATTGATTGTGGAATTATGTGTTTGATTTTGTGTGACTTCTTATGTTTGAGCATTAATACTAAAAGTGGTATTGCCTCGTTTCTTGACTGTTAGTATAATATATGTGGAATTAATACTTCACCGTAGCGACAACACCGCTATCCGCAACCCCGCTATACCATTTTGGGGTCGGCCGCTAACTGCTACTGACAACTATGACTGGGAGAGATCAACACCTCTCAAATGTGTTGAATTACTTTTTTCCTTTCTGTAATTCAGTATCTTGTATTAGGAGGATTTCCATTTTGCTTATGTTCATTGTATCGTTTATGTCTTTCAATATACAGAAAATCTAGAAGCAATATCTGGACCAAAAGCTTCTCTGAGTTCCTTAACATTCCTTACCTCTGATCCAATTGTATCAGTCCCTAATTTGTTCAACCTGTTGGAAGGTGGGTTTTAGTGAGATTAAATAGGACTTTGGCTCCGTACAGAACAGGGGCCACTGTGGCCACTATTTCATCCCACTATTGCAGTGATCCAAGCTGCAGTAGTAAAGCACTCTGCTACTTCAGTGGCGGCTCTTGGCCTCGCCATTCTGGGATGCCACTATTGCTAACCATGATTTAAAGTTGGTAAGAATGAATGGTATCTAAAATTATATAGTTACAACTTTTATTTCTTTTTGCAACCAAATTTACAAATATAACTAAGCATGCTTTTAAAATTGCTCTGAGATTTGAAATTTTGAAAAGGCTCAATTTCACAAGAATTGATTTTGACTTTTGAATCTAGAATAATTAGGTGTATGCTTGGGAATATTATATGCTAGCAAACTGGTTGTTCATGTACTAAGCGAAAATTATTTTCTTCAGTCAAACTAAGGAAAATGATATGCAAATAATTATGTTGAAATTAAGTTTTAATTACCAATAATAATAGGAAATGTTTGGTAACTTCTACAAATTTTATGAGGGGCATTGAAATCATTAATTCTTAGATTCTAATGGGCCTTTGCAAAGTGTTCATCCAAGCCCAACAGAATGAAGGAATTAGTTAGAGGAGAGAGAGAGGGAGTTATATAGTGGCGCAAGTTGAAGAGGGGGATTTCACGCATGAATTCAGTATTAGGAGGTCCTTTTACCAGTAATTTTCTCTATTATTTCTATTGTTGTTCATATGATATCACTTCTGCTGGTGATTATTCCTCATATCTCCAAATTTTTGGATCTAGTGGACCAGGCTTTGATACCAAATTGATGGTATCAGTATTATATTGTTATGAAAGATTGGAGATATCAGGAATAATCACCAACAGAAGTGATATCATATGAACAACAATAGAAACAATAGAGAAAATTACAAGTAAAAGGACCTCCTAATATTACCCTTAGAACCAACAAACCTAGGTTCTAAGAGATCCCACTAAACCAATACAGAATTCATGCGTGAAATCCCCCTCCTCATCTTGCACCACTATATAAATCCTTCTCTCTCTCCCCTAACTAATTCCTCAATTGTGTTGGGCTTGGATAAACACTTTGCAAAGGCCCATCAGATTCAGTTTTGTCCAATGTCACAACCGCATCTACAGCGAAAGATGAAACGCGATTGTGTCTCTAGAGCAATAGACAAGCTCAAAAGGCAGTCAATCTACTTTGGGCATCAAGAATTCAATTTAGGGAATTTCCAAACAAACAAAGTTACATTTAAAGTAGGACTGAATTTTCTTCAAAGATAGACATAATGTAGGACTTTATTTTCTTCATGTAGAGAAATTTTATAACATTAAAAAGATAAAAGGAGTAAGCTGAAAGATCTGTTACAAGTTATTGCCAAGGTAGTCAAACTAAAGATTTTACCTGAGGTCGGAAGGGGAGGGAAAAATTATAAATAGCGGGATCCACATGGATCGCAGATCTTACTAAAATAAAAAATTATATTCAAATACATTATATATATATATATATACATATATACTGAATAAAGAGACCCATAAAAATTAAAGGCCCAGATGTCAAATTTGGCAACAATACATTGTCATTTAAGTAAAATCCACTAAATGATTGAGGAAAATGCACTATTGAATAGCTACTAAATTATTAAATACCCACCGAATTTGTTAGTCAGCACAAGAACATAATAAAACCCACTAAACTGTACCACTGAAAATAAAGAGACGCATAGAAACAGAGACTAGCAAAGGAAGCACAGAACAGGGAGAGATGTACAAAGAGAAGCTCACAAGTCGCGAGAGGGGAGGGCTGATACATTGGCATTCGCACCAGAGAGAGGCTTGCACCTCATAGACAGTCGAAGCAGAGATAGAGGCTCACACCAAACAGAGATGTTGTTGCCCCAAATAGAGAGTGGGGTAGCGCTTCATCAACTCTCCGACAAGTTAAAAGACACTTTGGGTTATTTTCATGTATTGGGTTTTCGGTAATTTTCAAAACTGAGACCGTTTCAGGTGGGTTTTGTTGGGATTGTATGGAACACCTTGGAATCCCACGATCCCACCATTTTCACGCTTTTGCACAACGATTCTTTACGATCCTAGTAAGTCACAATTATGCAACCGAGCTGCATCATCAATGGTAGAAAAACTCATAGGATCATACGATCCCACGAGTTGACATGGGATCTTGACTACCTTGGTTATTAGTTACAAATTACTATCGAGTGTAGTCAAAGGCACACACCAAATGGAGTGGCTAAGGCATTAAGGTCAGGCACCTTAGAAGTGCCTTTCTTCTGGCCAGGCAAGGCAAGCCTATAGCTCCTAATTGATAACAGTAATAAAAACAAAAATCATAAAATTATCTAAAAGCTCAGATATCTAACTTGCTAACTGTGATGCTAAAGAGGGTAAAATAATTAGAATGGTAAGAGAATAACCAATTGTTAATCTTGGAGCCTCTTAACAAGAAGCAGCTTATGTTTTGTAAATTAAATATCATAACTTTTTAGTTTTATTATGAACTCTATGCTTGAGAAGTTAATTTATTTGGAAAATCAGTGCAAAATAGTCAATATTTTACTGATTTATTTTTCTCATGTTAATGCCTTTCAACACGTGCGCTTTTTGGCAGCTAGGGCCTCTTGACGGATCAACTGTTCCCACCTCCTCGGCAAGACAAGCTACCTTCACGTTAGGAGCTTTTGAGGCTGAATCCCTGTAGCACCTTGAGGCGTGTTTCACTATTGACCTTACTACTAATATGCCACAGTTAATGTGTAAGCAGTCTTTCATGTGAAATAAATCAAAAGTACTTCTCTAACAAGGTTCACCTTGCTTTAGATGGCTCACTTCATTTGCTGCTTCAAGCTCCTTCACCTCTATGTTGGCACTAGTTGAAACACCAGCAGCTGCAACTTCCGCTGCATTAACTTTTGCAGATTCTGAAGTAGTGCCTTCCACATTATCCTTTGAGGTAACATCAGATTGGACAGATGATTCTGAAGAACTGGAAGCATTATGCGACCCTTTTCTGCTCCTCCCCTTGTTTGATTTTCCAGCCATTTTCTCCTTCTAAAATCCAAACAAACGTGTCAATATACCAAGAAAGAAACAGTAATATAAAGCAGCAAAGGGTAAGTTTTATATGTCAAAAGGTTCAAACAATCACAGTCAGTCTCTCAAAAACACCATTTACTCAACCTAAAAGTATGTAAACCACCGTAAATAAAAACACAATTACGACATAGAGAAAGAAACATAGTGACACATGCAACTAATATCAGCATCAATTAAAAAAAATTCAAGGAAGAGCCAGCAGAAGCTCCGAATTAAGCTGTTAAGCCATAAACAGAGGAGAAGATAATTTGAAAGGTGTAAGTTTTAGCCATAAACAGAACCAGCCATCCTGATACTTGCACTCCTGACAGCTGATTCCCACAAAACCCAGGAGACAAAACCAACAAATTAAAAACAATAATAATAATAATAATAATAATAATAATAATGTAACACTCCGCAGTTTCTTAATTCCCACAAAACCCAAATGGAAAAATCATGAAGAAGAAAAACATTGACAAATAAGGATTCCATTTTCTCCAAAATACTAAAGAAAAATAATACAACATAAGCTTTATTACCAGCAAGAATATGACTTGAACCAATTGCAGGAGAAGTATGGATTAGTTAAGAAGAAGCATACAAATAGAAAAAGGGTTCTTAGAAGTTTTTGGTTAAAGAAGGCTTTGAGGTTTGAGGGACAAAGACAGGAAGAGAAGCACAGCAAGAAGTGGCTGAGAGGCGGCTTCTCATTTCTATGAGAGAGATGAGAGAGAAATGGAAGAACAAAAATAGAGTATTAAGATTTCAATCATTTGGAACCCATATTGGTTATGGGCTTGGGCCTTTTATTCTTTTCTTTATTTTATTTCTTTTTATCAGTATCTATTGGGGGGAGGATTTCTTCTCTTGTACTAAATACTAAGGCAGTGTTTGGTTGAAGATTTATTTTGGAATTGATAGGAAAGTATAAATGGCTATTGGAAAATATCATATTTGATTCAAGTTTTTTAAAAAAATACTAGGCAAATAGGATAGATGAGAAAATGACTTTTGTGTTGATTTTTGGATGAAATTCACTGTTATAGAATACCACTTGAGATGTGGTATTTTGAGATAACTAGGGAAGTGAAAAAACAGGTGCGAAATTTCTTCCGAACATAGATTTTGCAAATTTAAATAAATTTCTCTAGTAATATTTCGGTCAACCAAACAATTTTTTTTACATTTTTCTACCAAACTCAGTTTCCAACTATTTTCCTAGTATTCAAAAAATTTCTCCTCAACCAAACGCCCCAAGAATATTTGTATTCGTATTATAATTACGATATATGCTGACTAATAACAAAGAACGCGACATTTTAGTATCACAATTTTTTAGTACATAATTCTTGAATCAGATGATATGAATATAATAATCACCAAAATATTAAGTAATTATAATCATAGGTAAGTATCGAAAAAAAGTTTACCAGGGTAAAATATGCTTATTTCCAATAAAATATAACTTTTTTAAAACTTAAATGTGCCTTTTATTATTAGGAATTCAGGATAGAGTTTTACGCTGATATTATGTGGGAAGGAGTTTATGAACAAAGGATTTTTAAAGAATTCCAAGCATGACTTAACGAAAGAGTTTAGTTATCGGAGAATTAAAAATTTGATTTTCTTTTCTTTTCTTTTTTCATGTTCGTGATTATACAAAAAAAAGAGCGAAAGGATAAAACAAATTGAAACAAACTCACACTAATGCAATTTAATGATCATTTAGTTATCGGAGAATTAAAAATTTGATTTTCTTTTCTTTTCTTTTTTCATGTTCGTGATTATACAAAAAAAAAGAGCAAAAGGATAAAACAAATTGAAACAAACTCACACTAATGCAATTTAATGATCATATATATATATATATTGGTGGACTCAAAAAAATTTATTTATATATACACACTCAGTGGAAAAAAAATTAAGAAATTTTTAAATGCATTCAAAATCAAAAGAATATAAACAATAAAAGAAAATGAGTAAATTTCTCCACTTAACAAGCTTTGGCTTTAAGTCAGCTCCAATGATGTCTGGATCTTAGCAATTATAAAGGGAAGTGATATTCGCCTGACCTTAAACTCTTCAAGGGATTTTATAGTTGACTTCACCTTCTTCTTCGGCCCAAATCCAAGAATATAATGTCATTTCTCTATCAGTCTAGAAGTGGCTAACCTTGGAATTCCCATATTTTCAAGGTAATCTATAAAAAGCTTGATGATTCTAGCAACTTGCATCCCAAAAATTATGAGTATCTAGTTAAGACCCCTCTAATTTCTCTTTTTTTCAACACCAATTCCAACCAAATAAGCAATCGATGTGCTCATGGTTCCCTCAAATTTAAATCCCAGCACTTTAGGGAAGTTGACAAAAAAAAATTGTTCATACTTACAATCATTTGCCCCTAAATAGGTCTGCCAATATATATATATATATATATATATATATATATATATAGGCTTATCATTTCTCAAGCTGCTTGAGATAATCTTATCTCCGGCTAGTAAATCATAACCGTACAAAGATGGATCAATGGTGATAAAGGAAGAGAAAGAAAAAGGGAATCATAACCATTCAAAGGTGAATCAATTAATATAAGAAAATAAATAAATAAAACGACGTAGTTTTGAGGTAGCCGAAACCGGAGATAAACTTATCTCAAGCTGCTTGAGAAATGTTTTTCCCTATATATATATATATATATATATATATATATATATATATATATTCTTTATGATGTCATGCTTGCTTCCGGCACTACAGAGAAATAAATCTTGATCAAACCTATATTTGCCCAATGGATACAATTTGCTCATGGTAAAACTTAATATGGGTTCAATGTACTTTTATCTTCAACAAATAGTTTGGCATTCAATACGGGGCGAAGCATATGGTAGCCTGGTTGGTTAAATGCCATTAATGAGAATAGTAATTCTCTTTCTTAACAATAGGGCCCGGAGACTTCTTGGTTCATTATGTTATTTCCTTATTTTACATACCACAACATTGATCTTAGAAAAATGTGTTTTGGATGCGCGCGGTTCCAAGTTAATGTCGGATAAAAAGGATTTTGGTTATAGTTTTCCTTGCAACGGTCCAGAACGAGGTGGTACTTGTGATATTTCGGCGTGGAATGCATTTTATTTGGCAGTTTTCTAGATGTTAAATACCATTGGATGGGTTACTTTTTATTAGCATTGAAAACATGTTACACTATGGCGGGGTAATATTTCACATTTTAATGAATTTTCTACATATTTGATGGGAAGGTTAAGAGATCTATGGTTAAATTCTTTACAATTTATCTACGGCCAAACTCATACTCAGTATCTAGCAATGCAATATCATGTCAAACACTAGGAATCACTAAGTAAGAGACTTCCCTCAATCATTTATATCAGGCTTTTTCCCTCGAAAGTGCTCTGATACTGTAAAATGTAACACCACTTGTGCATCCGGTTTGCTAACATCATAATGGTATTAAGCGCAGCAAATTAATCAAATAAATGCAGAAGCTAATCATCGTAATTCATAATTAAACTCATGTAAAAACGTGAATAAACTTTTTCTTTTCCATATAGTTTACAATTCGCGTAGCTAATCTTACCTTTACCTATTATCATGACCACCATTAATTGTTCACTTATAATATCCATTTATGTCTGAGTTATCCACCAATTATTTTATTTATTCTACTTAACCATCCACTAATTAATTATTCATTTCATGCCAACATTACCAAATCCTTCCATTATCTAGTCATTTATGACATAGTAACACATACACACCCTAAGACATCCAATAACGTCTAAATTATTTATTATAGCTACTCTCATTTTCCTTAACCTTTATTAAGCCACCACACTTCGTAGAGATGGATTTAAGCCTTTCATATTTAAATTTCATAAGGCCTACAAGCATTTCTTTTAAAATGTTTGTTTTTTTGCTTCTGTTTGCCCAGAATATCCTGTTATTTGTCGGGGATATATCTGGATATGTCATATCCGGATATTCCATGACAATGGCGAAATGGAATATCTTTCTTCGAGCTGAGGGTTTAGATTCCAACTCTTTACCTTATATCACTTCATCTTGTACTTAGTGGTCTTCACCTAAGAGGTATACAACAAGTGTCAACCATGTATTTGGTTTAATTAAGCTATTTCATACCTTTCTTAGCATCTAAGTTATCATATCTTAAGGAACTTAAACAACAGTTATATAACAACCCTCAATATCAAGTTAGGTTAAACGAGAAAATCAAGCAAGTGTTCAAAATATCAAGTCAAGTTACAAGGAATCAAGTAGTGTATGTTCAAGGAAATTGTGATAAGTTGTGTTAAATAATGATCAATTGATCATGAAATCAAGATGATAAGATATACAAGGATATAATTTATGCCAGACAAGTCTAATAGGACCCTAATATAAATATAAGGTATATGTGAGGATATAGATGTTATTATGTGAAAAGTTAAGATTAATTTGGTAATTGACCAAGGTTAGGTCAAAGCTTGATTTTGATGATGTAATTAAATTCTATAGTAAATTTCATGGGTTCAGAGTGATCCTACTATGATCAAATGATGTTTAGATTAATTTCTAAAATTGAGTCAAAGTAAGATTAATGAAAGACCAATGGAAATTGGTTTAAGTCAAAGATGGATACAAAATTGTCAAGTTAGTAACATAACTTAACTTTGGGAATTCTTTGCATAATTCTTTAGGTGTATGTGATTCTATATAACCTTGAATGATTTATATTCAAGAAGGTCAAAGTTGGATGAAGACCAACCAATTAGACTTAAGTTTGACAAGTCTTGAAAGAATAGACCAATGGATGTTAAGTTTGAATATTCAAAAGTTGTTAAATGTATAAATAAGAAATCCTAGTCATTTTCTTTCATGTGAGGTGGCTAAGTTACTTGGAAGGATTCTAGAATGTTGTATAAGTGATGACAAGGTGAGTGTGTAGAAAAAGAACTAATAGAATTTAACCTTTTGGTGCAAAAGTCAATAAAAATGGCTATAATATCTTTTAAGTGTTTATAGGTTGTTTTCTTTCTTATTCTCTTCATCTTCCACAAAAATTATGCACATTTTCCCTCCTTATAGACTAGCCACCACTCAAGAGCTTTGAGAGCTCATATTTCTTAGAAAACCTCACAAAAACATTAAGATTATTTCACAAGAAATCTTCCTTAAAACCTTAAGAACCTTTCTATGGTTTTAGTTTCTTCTTTGAAGTCTTCAATCTCTTGATTTCTCTTCATGAAGACTATGACCTATGTATTGTTCATGGGTCTAAAGATGACTTTTTTCATGGTTTGAAGCTTGGAGAAGGATCTCTAGGTGATTTGGAGTTCATTGGTGTCAAGAAACTCATGTTAAACGGTTGTTTTTTAAGTTATGATTTTAGGTTTTCTTGTTGAATATGGCTGAACATGGATGATGTTAAATCATGTGTTTAATATGTATTTTGATGTGTAATTACGGGCTTTGATGTTCATGGAGTTGATTGAATTAAGGTTGAATCAATGAAAGTTGAATAAAATTCGTGAAACCCTAGAGAGGTAAATCTGACCTCTTTTTGAAAAATTCATATCTGGAGTTTTAGAACTCCAAATTGAGTATGGTTTGTTGAAAATTAAAGGTACATATGTCTAGTATAACATGTCAAAATCCAGGGAAATTGGATCAGAAATGAAT